ACAGCAATTAGTAAAATTGAAGCACCAAATAAGAAATATTGTAATTAACAACTTACCCTTTCAAGTACACACCATCTAGGAAAGGATAATCACTGCTATAGGATATAGCCTGGAATTATCAAGAGAAGAGCTGGTGTTGAAAAAGAAGAGAAAAGCTTGTTAATAACAAAAGTCCTGGCTAAATCAATCTTACACACCTCAACGTATCTATAACCCTACCTTTGAATCAGTAGAGCGACTGACTCGTCATTTTCTGGTCCAACAGTATACAATTAAATGCTGTCAAATATAAAGAATTGTTGTTAATATATTATATTACAAAAAACAATAAATATTAAAGATTTTTATTATGCACAAATATAGATGTCAAGAATAAAATGATGACTTGGTATATAAAGTATCAAAGTTATTTATTGCTACTTTTCTTTTCCTAACAAAAAAAAAGATTAAATAAAATTTATCAATTTTAACAGTCAGGCTCATATTATATTTTTGTTACAGATCTTTATTAATTCTTGATTAACTTATATTATAATTTACTCTTGTAATATTCACAATTTTAAAAATAATTTTTGTATATCAATCTATAATTTGACTTTAATTATTGCTATCATTGGTATTTTCTCTAGAACATAAATGCCTTTATTATTATTTGAAGCCTGCTAATAACTAATATAGACAGGCAATAGGACCAGAAATTTTTTGTTATTTCTACTTATTTAAAAAAAGCCTTTTGCAAAAAAAAAATTAAAAAAATCTCTAATTAAACTTAAAAACTGAAAAAAACTTATCAAAAAAGTAAATAGAAGACTTTCTAACAACTGAAAAAACTTTCAAAACAAAATATATTGTTTTTTAAGTTAAAGTTTTTTAATTCAAACTTATCAGATTTAATAAAAAACTTATAGATATTGACAAGATCAACTTCAAATTACTGGCTATCTTTAAAACTAAAATCTTAGCAAATCAGCTTCCTATTATAAATAAACTTTACAAAAGATATCTTTTACTATATAAGGACAATATGTATTTCTATTGTAAATCCATTCAAAAAACTTAAACCATATCTTTTCTTGCTATTGCAGTTTCTTCACATTAAGAAAAAAAAGAAATAAACTTGAGGCTTTTATTGCTCCTAACATTTTTATAAAAAATTAAACTTAAATAAATTCTATTCCTTTCAAATTACCTACTTAACAAATAAAATACTATTTAACCTATTACTTGAAAAGTTTAATTCATCATTTGACATAATTTGGAAGAAAAAGAAATTATAAACTATTTTTTTAAATACTATATAAAATTTGAAAGCAATAAAAAACTCTTTCTTATAAATTCTTTTTCTGCAAAAAATTTCCTTTTTTAGAAACAAGCAAAATTCAAAGAAGAAAAAAAACAACAAGCGCTCTTGGGAGCCCTTCTCCCAAGAGCAAACCTCCAAACCCACTTCATATCCTCCTGGACATCGTTATAGTCAACCCAACTGACCATTTATTCTCTGTAGTGTACAAGAAATATGGTTCCAAAAATTGGAATCGAATAGAATCGAACAGAATCACATAAGGTTCGGAACACTATTAAAAATGATGGTGGGGTATATCCCACCTATTAAATTTAATATAAACTTGAAAATCGAATACAGAATTGAAGAGAATCGTTAGGATCCTTAACAAGGAATCTAACTCAAGCAACATACAAATTACTGAACCAGCACGAAATATTTCCATTCCTCCCTTAACTGACTTTCCCAAATACTGCATATACCCTTACTAAATCCAAAAAACATTGATAACCTTTCTTCAGTGAATACAGTGTTTGTCAGTTTCAAGCAAGTAACAACCAGCTCCAGTCCTTCATCACTTTCACACACGCAAGCCTCCCTATCTATCAATAATCAAAAAAGCAACATCCAAACCAATCTCAATGATTTCTTCCTTTATCAGGAGAGGAATAATCTTGCCCCAAATATAAGGGAAACCATCGCAAGGAAAGTACTAGACAATAACCTCAATTATATTCTCTACCTCTCATGAAATCAAATCAACATAACCAACAGCAAAAACAAGTTCAACCTCGAGAAGATATACAATGCACCATCTTATCCATCTCCCAATACACCAGTCCAGGATGACGACCTTGAAAACTCAACTCTCTACTCTCCTCCAGTTCCCAACAAAAAAACTACAAGCTCTCAAATCCCAAAAAAAATTCCAAGCAGCTCACCCTTACCTATTGATCAACAAATCACAAACATTTCCAATTTAGCACCTATCAGTAACGTAATTCCTGCATCTCATGCAATCTCTGCAGCTCCAGAAAGCACAAATACAGTCAGTGCATCAAGTAATGTGGCACCAATCCCAAATGACCTTCAAAGCACAGGTGACATGATGTAAGTGGATGATCACCACATTGCAGTTGCCATGAGTAACAATTATGACAAATCCGGTAGTACAATTAGACCAACCAGCCCCTGTTCTGACAATGACATATCAATGGTATCATTGGACCAACCAATTTCTATAGGAAATTCAAGCTCCCTAGCAGAATTTAATCGTCAGGTGCAGGAAAAGCTAGTCAACATACAAGAAAACATACCTCTTATTGAAGCGACCCAGCAAATACAAACCCTGATCAAACAAGCAGAGATAAACTTCCAAATGAGACAGACTGGTCACATGAGGAACCTTTAATCGGAGATCTTGCAAGCTCCCCCAGTCTTTTCTCA